TTATTGTAGAAATTTTGTGGAGAAATGAATCTCATTTGCCCTACTTATTGTGCAAATGTTGCGAAAGAATGTAATCTCAGCTTGTTGGCCGGTGGGTCACTCTTCCTTTTGATACTGTGGAACATACTCGGGAAAATGGAGTCTCAGGGTGCTGGTCGGCGGGGTTTTCCCGCCCCTCCACTATGCCCCCACTTGCCACAAACACATCATCGTCCATCGCTTTTCCACCGTCCATCATTGCCATCAATCGTTCTCGAGCATGTTGAACAGTCATGGGGTCGGACGCAGCTGCGATGTGTGTGGTGGACCTGCGCGTCGTCGAACTGGAACGCCGGGAGCACCTGTTCATCACGGCGGACGATGCAGCACGCCAAATATGCCTTGTGTGCAAAGACACTGACTTTGTCGAAACTGAAATCGTCGAAGGCACTCTTTTCAACGGAGGCATGCGAGCAAGATGTGGATCGAAGCCTTAAGTACTGCACACAAAAGTCTTTGTTCAAACTCTACATGAACGTTGTCTGAGCAGTTGTTGTGCCGTCGCCACTGAGATGAAGTTCACTCCTCCCTCGCTGCTGTGCTTGCTGGTCACGTCAAATTGATGCGGGTTCGGTTCATGGCGTTGTCAGTGCTGCTCACGCTCTCTGTCGGCCTTGCCTACTGGTCGTACACTACGCTGCACTCTTGTCCATCGTGGTCATTATTCCGCCCCCGTCGCTGCCCTGTCGTGGTTTCAGATGCAACACTTGCGGAAATCACGTGTCATTCGGAATCGCAGGACGGCGGAAAAAATCGACCGTGTTCTTGCGTCTTTTGTCCAATGCCATCCGCCTCTGCGGTGCAGCACCACTGTCTCCTGGACCCGATGGGGGCAATGACCTGGAGGGGCGAGCTCCGCGTACAGTACATTTATGGCGACGGCAAGCATTGTGTGGGGAAGGCGCTGCCGTCGGACCGCTCCGACTGTATGTATGTCGGAAGTCGCACTCCCGACTGCTCGCGTACCTCCGGAAGGCAATGTGCATTGCAACACCATCAACGACCAACCAATCTCACCAGGACGGGCACGATTATAGCCCACCACGACGATGTGCGGCGC